ACTCTGGAAATTCCATCTGTCTATTCACTGTATGTATTTCCAAAATAATAGCTAATAGAAGTTAACCATGTGTTTGTGGTATTGAGGGAGCCTATTTAATGTTTCTCTTTCCCTGTTCTTTAGTGGTTTCCCCAGGCTTTAGGTAGATCAGAATCACGCCATTAACAGTGTCTTATGGGACAGGACTACCTGAGCTGTGCCTTTTAGCCGTGAACCTAAACTGGTCTTAGCCTCTGAGGCTAAGGAATCATAGACCTCTCCTGGGGACAGACAAGGAATATCCCCCAAAGCAGACTAAAACCAGAAGTATACTTAAATAAAGGAAAATGTATTAGAAAATTGACTCAAGTTCAAAGATGTAGGGAACAAAACATGCTTAGGTCTAAGACTGCATCCAGCCTTGCCTAAGTAGGCCAGAAGCTCTGAATTTACAGTAAAGAAGTAAAGTATGACTTCTGATTCATAAAACACTCAGCCTGTGTCTGTTCTTCTTTGTCAGGGTCGTCTTTCTCTGACTGTTAAATCTGCCCACTGCTGCTGGTAGCCACCTAACCAACCTCTTGTATCCATGCTGATTGGCCCCATACTCTCCTTTGGGTGACTTACTGTACATTCTTCCTACTTCCCCACCTGAGGATATGTTCACACCGCAATAAAAAACCTACAGCACCAAGTCTCAAAGCCCTGGTCAGTTGACTTAGGCTTGTGGGACTAAAAATAGAAGGGTAGACAGTCTGGCTCAGGCTGGATCGTGGGTTCTGAGACCCACCCTCCTTTTGGGGTCTCAGATTGTGGGTTCTATGACAGGTTCTCCCCTGGGGTGCCACCTGAAACAGGGGTTACCACTGAGCCCTTTGACCCACCAGCCTGGGCTCCCTCTCTCAGTGGGCTTCTGTGAGATGCTGCAGGCCCACTCCCGGTCCTACACTTCCATCAGCAGTAACACAGCATTAACCCAGCTACAGTTACATACAGGCTCTCTGACCATTCACTGCATGAAGCAACAGTCAAAAGGCTACAGCCAAGGTAACTCTCAGCTCCCCAGCTGCGCACCCCCTCTGGAGCATAACCCCAAAATTATACTGTCTTGCAGTGCACAGGGATTTGTACAGTGTAAGCTCATAGAGTTTGCCCCACCTCAATTTGGAGAGGAATATACAACAGCCTTTGCCCCTTGATCTATGGTTTCCTATGCATTTCATTCAAACTCACTGGTTTAGATAAAGCAAAAACGAGTTTATTAACTACAAAAGAGAGATTTTAAGTGATAGCAAACAGATTACCTAGTAAATTAACAAATGGCAAACTAAGCCTAAAATATTAGAAAGATAGGAAATGAATTAGCAAATTCTCACCCTGGCTGATGCAAGCAGGCTGCAGTTTCTTAAGGCACAAGCTACACTTGCTTTACAGCCTGGAATCTCCCAGTTTTCATACACTAGCTAGAAATCCCTTTAGCCTGGGTCCAGCACTTCCCCCAGTTCAGACTTTGTTCCTTGGGTATTTCCAGGAATCTCTTTGTGTGGGGAGTGAAGAACAACAGATGATGTCACTCCCTGCCTTATATAGCTTTAGCATATGGCCGTAACCCTTTGTCTGAAACTCAGTTTGTGGGGAAAAAACTAACATCCCAATATGGAGGCCAGAGTTATGTGGCCTGGTTACATGTCCTTGCATACCTTGCAGAGTCATAGCAGCCATTACTTACAGGCTCTCTGGAGTATTCTCAGGAAGGTTAAGTTCTTCCAGGGTCCACTGTATTTCCTGATGGGACACCAGCACTGTCTGGCTTCTTCATTTTTGTACCAGAAAGGCTAGTTGTGGGTGTCACCCAGAGTAAGCATGATTGAAATACAGATACATAGTCAGTATTCCTAACTTTAGATACAAAAATGATACATGCATACAAATAGGATAATCATATTCAGCAAATCATAATTTTTCCAGTGACACCTCACATGACCTGACATGTAGAAATGGCATCATAATTATGCCATAATCATATCATATCATAATAATATCACTGTGAAGAATATATAGTGCAGTGTCACAGCGGGGTCTCAGATCCTGGGCTCCAGCCTGAGCCCAAATGTCTATACTACAATTTTATAGCCCCGAAGCATGAGCTAATAATAGCCATATTGCGCATCTCTTACTGCAGTGTAGATGTACCCTTAATCCATTGCCTTGCTTAAAGAGATTCTGAGCTATTAGATTTAATCACTTCAAGTTACGTTTGGGGCACTCCAGTTGATTGTTCAGATTGCTTCAATACACAATGTTAATGGGTCGCTATTCAGGCCAGTTAGCTTGCTGCCCTGCCTTTCCAACCAGATCAAATAGCTAATATAGCAGTATAGTTAATTACAGAAATATTGCCCTACAAAATTGCTTTTCTATTTCTCTAACAAATAGGGCACCTCTTAGTCACTATCCAATGTCCCAGATGATACAAATAAAGTATCATCTTCATTGAACTGCATCCAGGCCATAAATGGCTGAAATATCCTGTTCAGATAATCATAGAAGTTTCCTCTGGCCTTAATCTGTCACACACACACACACACACCATCTGACCTGCTGGATAACACAGGCCTTGTACCCAGTGATTACTGCAAGTGAAATGGAAAGGAACAACTTTGTATCTGATTCTCTTCTTCATTTACATGGATGTAAAGCAGGAGTAACTCAACTGAAATAAAAGGAGTTACACTGTAGTAAAACCAATGTGAGATAAGAATCAATCCTAATTTAAAGCAAGACATAATCAAAAATGAAACACTTGACCCAGGAATGGTCCTGTAAAGCAAATACATGTGGGGCCAGATCCTATTCCCATTGAATGGGAGAGCAGATCCTGAGCATGCACCTTTGTCCTGAAACCATTTGCTTTCGAAGAACAAACACAGGAATTTGCCATGTCAATAAATATCCATCCCCATGAACTGCACAGTGAAACTTAATCACTGATGGACCCATTCACATCTCAAAATGCTCTCTTTTTGACATCGCTGTGCATGGCTTACTAAATTCAGCTCTTTCTGTAGACTTCCATCAAGCCTCTGATTCAGTGCACTGAGAATGTTTGTGGGTCTGCAGAGACAACTCTGCATTCTTAGAAATAGTGTCATTGATAGAGCTCTATAATGGAACAGAAGGCTGTTTTTGAGACAGATACACCACATGGTTTCCTGTCTCCATGGAAGTTCAGCAAGACTGTGTTTTGTCACAGTTGTTCAATATCTGCACTGACTGGTTGATTCATAAGTTTGAGGAGGCAGCTGCTGTCATTGAGCTGAATACCATTCTGCTTTCAGATTCTGACTGTGTTGATATTGTCTTGTTGGCTCGTCTGGTAAATCATTGCAGCTGATGGTGGATTTGGTTGAGCAAGAAGCAGCGTGCTTTGTCTGGTTATTAATCAGAATAAAATAGTTCCTGGCCATTACCATCAAGAAGCCTCCAGCTCCAATATTAACTGTATAAATGGGACATTGAGCTTGCGGCAACGATCAAATACTTGGGCAGAATCATAGACAGTTCTGGAGGATGCTTGCAAAATGTAGTTGCTAATATAACAGAAGATGCTGCCATATTTCAGGACCTTTTATGGCCTCTGTGGGGACATTGTGACATCAAGCTTGCAACAAAGCTGCAGATCTATAGAACCACAGTTATATAAACTCTGTATCAATGCTGCCTCCATCAGCACTGGCTTAGTTTCGGTAGCTGCCTTAGTACAGACATTGGAATGAAAGACCAATGAATTGCAAAGCATGTGCATCAAGAAATGCTGCACAGCTGGTGATCACATGGGCTCCAAAAAACCTTCAGTGGCATGATAAGATTGCCAGTGTTACGAACTGAATAACTAGCCAAACCTCCATAAGGAGTTAGCCAGAGATCGATCTGGTTGATCCTTGATCTGCAAGGAGGCACGTCCCTTTGGGATTTGCGAGGATGATCCATTAGGTAATGAATGGTCATACGAGAGCTATTGAAATTTGTGTAGTGTGCATGCTGTCTCTCCCTTGCAATGCATACTGGGAGTGATGCAGCCACTACTTTAATCTAATCTCAGTCCAGAAAGTATGTAGTTTACAACAGAATATTTACACTTATTTTTGCCATGCAGAAATGAACCAGTAGTCCGACTACTCCAGTATTCTGTCCTTGACAATGATCAATGGCAGATGCTTCACAGGAAGGCATTAGAACCCTCAAATCCTGCCTATCCAGTCCCCTAAGTGCAGTTTTGGCTATCAGGAGATCCAGGTCCTGCTGCAGACTTTCTGTGCGACACTGGGCAAGTCACATAACTTTTTTGTGGCTCAATTTTTCCCGGCTTGCAAAATGAGAATAATAATTACCTACTTCACTGGAACCTTAGAAAAATTTTAATTCATTCATGTTTTTAAAGCACTTTGAGATCCACAGGTGGAAGGTTATCCACAAGTATAGTATAAAATTGTATTTCTTTATTATTATGCACCCAATTGTACAATACTATCATGGGGGGGAGGAGGGAAGAAAACTTCCTTACCTCTACTGGTAATTAAATTTTGAATACACTAATATGGAATTGAAAGTGTCCTCACTCCCTAAGTTTCAGGGTAACTAGAGTAAATGTCGTTTCTGTTCTTTTATTAAAAATATTCTTCAATAAATATCAAGGGTGACAGCATATTATAAAGAGTCCTTTAAAAAGTCTGCAGTTATGGATAGTCCTCCACTTGTGGATTCTATTCTTGTCCAGATAAATGTTTCCAACTATTACTCTTGGCAAATTCTATGCAATATTAACTGCAGGGGCTCATACAGTAGAAGAGACCCTTTAATAAACTTGACAAGTATGGAGTTCTACTCTGGATCAGTTATATCAAATCCATTTATATAAAACAAATGCCAAATTAATTAGTTTTGAAAACTGCCTGCACACCTGCCAACTAGATGTTTTCAGCAGGTATCCATTATGTATAGTATCCCAACCGGAGTCTTACCTGATGATAATCAAAGGAATGAAATATACCAGGAAAGCAACCACAGTCATGTAGGGTATCCAGTAGGAGTCATCAGGCCAGACGGCCCAGCACTGCATTTCCGCATTGGATAGCTGCCATTTCCCAAATATAATCAGAGTCAGAATCGAAAACAGGAAAGAGAGGCTCCATGCCACCATGCTGAGAATTTTTGCCTGCCTTTCTGTTCAACAAATCCAAACAGATTTTTGTTAGCATAGGTCCTGGCCCTTCTGTAATGTTTCTTTGGACATATACATCAGCCTAAAGAAAAGATGAGTAGGGGGGAATTCTAATTTCCAGGCTGATGCTGAAAATGGAAGGAGCTTGTCAGCTAATTTTATGACTGAAATTTTTGATTTCTTTGTCACTTTTGTGACAGAAGTCAGTTGATGAAGAAGTCAAGTGCTATGTCAAAGACCCAGGTCACTGGCAACAAGTCAGAAATATAAGCTTTGAGAAATACCACCTAGACAAAGAAGTTTCTTCGATGGTATGGACTTGTGCAGAAGTGCTCACTTGCCTGGGCAAAGCAAGGTTGAGGTCAACACCATGGCATGTCAGAAACAAAAGAAGCCTTCGCCCCGCAGGTGGCAGAGGAAGGATGTTGTTACGACTTTAACCAGCACTTGCAAGATGCAGATACTGAAGTTAATTTTGAGAGACTGGGCCAGCTAGTCAATGGAGCTACACTGACTTACAGCAGCCAAGGATCTCACTTACTCAGAATGCTGGAGGATTGCAGGAAGGAAGTTCTATAGGAAAATCATATCTCATACTGCCTAGGCACTCACATATTTTGACAAGTGTTGTTCTAAATCCCCAGATGACTGATTGTATGCGGAAGTAGAAAATCCCATTACATTGTGCCCAGCAGGAGGCTATTTTTAAAATCTATACTCCTTGAAGCTCAATCGTTTCAAAAGAGCACTATAAAAGTAAATAGAAGCATTTAAAAATTTTTGGAGGCCGCCAACATCAGCTATAATATTTACCCTTACTTTTAAATGTTACACATGATCAGCACAATCGAAGCTTGGTTATCTAAAGTGCTTTGAGGCAGATTTTCCACAAGCTCTGTTCTCCCTTCCAGAAAGTGACACATTTTAAGTAAAAGTGCTTCTAACTCACGACTGAGTAAGGACCTCCTCAGGATTTGGCACAGAGTTTGGGCTCAGATCCAAAAGAGACAGAGACTTCCTGAGTGAATGCCCTCTGATTTCAAGGAGGTCACTCATGAATCCAGCCATCACTAGCTGATCCACGCTTATCTGTTTCTCGCATACAAACATAATCCCCTGCCTCCCTTTAGCAGATTTGTTCTAAAATAAGGCACAGAGAATAAAAGCTTGAAAATTGAGTGGGTTTGTGTAGCGGTAAGCAGCCAAACATCATCTCTCTCCTGCACTTCGCTACAAAGGTGAGATCTACCAGTATTGATTAGAGCCTAGTGTAGGACAGGTTGAGTATTTAAAAATAGCCTGGACGTTACTCAAAAATCACTCTGCTTTTACTACAGAATAAATCAGCCTCAAACAACCAGAGCAGGAGCTGTTCAGCCAGCTTCAATAGCGGACTAATTTAGAGGGAAAAGTCTTAGACATGCCAGAGGCAGCAAATTATATTCTCCACAAGTCTCTGAAACTCATTATTTAAAAACCAGAAACACGGAACTTAAATATGTATTTAAAGAAAACGGAGGCAAAAAACCTGTTGAAAATGGGTCTAGGCTAGTAAGAGCTCATTCTGTTTACATGAACATAGAGAAAGCAGGGAACTATATTTGTCCTGATTTTCCACTGCTTTGCTCCTTGTGTTGTACAAAGGAGGTGTACAGTGCCATCAAATGCACTCTGCATTCACTTTGCACAGACATAAATGATTATGAAAGGTGCAAGGCAGTGGAGAATCATCTGAGCTCCTGCATTTTAAAGGGTTTTCCTTTTATTGCCCCCTGTGTGTTTATTTAGATACCTTTTAAAAATGCCAAACATCCAGTTTGGTAGAACATTTTCCACTAAAATGAAAACAAGCTCCCCACACTGAAAGAAACCCCCAACCTTTATTTTGGTGCCTAGTTCCAGCACCCACGTTTTAAAATATTGTCCTTCGGCTGACCAGTGATCCAGCAAGTCTGTGTCTAGTCAAGTATTTTAACATCACAGGGCTTTCAGAAGCAGCACCATCTACAACCTGGATCTGCAGAAACATCTATGTAAAGTGTCTTAGACAAAGAAGAAACACCATTGTAACTGTTAATGTTTCACTTCCTTATATTCTCAGAAGACCTGCGCTCATACATTCATACAGGGTCTTTTGCAATGCCCTCATTTCCCAAAATAACAAGCATCTCTCCATTAACATCTGAAGCATGTAACTTCCTTTCAGTAGGAGTACAGTTTGCTGCCCTCCTGCTCTAAATTCAGAAGTATTGATATGTGGTTCAAGCTGTTCCTGAACAATGTTCTCCTGGGTCTAGAAAATAGAACAAGAATCCATCTTGCCTTGCCATGGGGAGTACTTCTGTATTTCCTTTTAATGATGTAACTTACACTGCCAACCTGTTTAGGAAATGTAATTAGTACAAACTGCTTTCTTGGTCATTTCTAGCAGCTTTCCCATCACAAGCACTGACTTCCAGATTTCCCCGGGGGTGCTCCACCCCCCAGGTCCCACCCTCACTCTGCACGGAGGCTCCTACTGTAACTCAAACATTGTTGTAAGTGCCGCTTCCTGATGGACCCAGCTTTTCTGTCACTTGGACACGTATACTTAAAGCTGTGTGCAGCCACCTAGCACGTGGCTTGCTGTCTGCTGTGGATTGATGAGACTCCAACCCCTAGATTCCTTGTGACCTCTTCAGTGCCAGATGCATACATCTCCCATCTGTTGTCAGTTCTTTAGTGTGGGCCTCTGTGCAGGCGTATTTCTGTGTACTACAAAGCACAGGTGCAACAAAAGGTGCGGTCAAGTGTCACAGGGTCAACTGCACAGAACTGTTGGCTCATCACTTGTGATTGGGAGCCACAGATGGCAAATCACAGCACTGTTGGCAGAACTGGAGTTTCTGATTTGAGCTTTTACTGAATGTATGTATGTATTTATTGTTTCGGTAATGACTGGATTCCTAATCTTTGCATAAACCCCTGGAAAGGGGACTTGTTCACTTAAGACATTCATCTCAAGACCTACAGGTCTCCCGATTACTCTTTTTCCTGGTAATGACTGCTGTGTTTGACAGAAGTGTGTTTTTGGCAGCACTTGAGAGGATCCTTCAGGGAAATTATAATATATACCCCGTGCAGTTGGTCCTTAATTAATACTGGATGACTTACTTTTGCACACTATGAGCCTCAAAGGCTAATGTTGAGGCTCATGGTGTGCACTTGGCAAGTCAAATGAGATTCTGATTGAGAAGGAGCAATGAGAGTTGCTGCTAATACCTCTTCAATGCCAAGAGTCATAGTTAGTGTATTTCAGAAAGTTTTAGTGGCTTTCAGTAGCAACAGCTTGGGATGCAAACCAACATAATTGTTTGGGGGACAAGGAGTTATTCATGCATTCATTCTTTCCCAATCAGATGTTCAGGAGAGAGATGCTGGCAGGCTAAACACCAGCTGTTGCCCAGGCTACGGGCATTGGCTAAAAACTGACAAACTCCTAGCTGGCGATCAGACCAGTTCATCTGTCTGTTAGTTTTGCTCAAAACAGGTATTAGTCTTGTAAGAATGTATTTAGGGTTTAGACTCTAAGGAATGCTTGTAAATTGCTGCTTGTGTTAATCTCATTTGTAACATCAGTGTTCCCTGCTATAATAAAATATGTAAGTTTTGCTTTCTAACTTTGAAATTGTTTGCTCTGAACTTGTGAACCCTGATCCCCCTCCCACCCTCTGAACCGCTCGGTCCCAGCCCAGAGCACCCTCCTGCACCCCTAACCCCTCATCCCCAACCCCACTGCAGATCCTGCACCCTCAACCGGAGCCCTCACCCCCCCACACACACACCCCAACCTCCTGCCTCAGTCTGGAGCCCTCTCCCGCACTTTGAATTATTTCTGGCCCCACCCCAGAGCCCACCCCCCCAGCCGGAGCCCTCACACCCTCCCGCACCCCAACTCCCAATTTTGTGAGCATTCATGGCGTGCCATACAATTTCCATACCCAGATGTGGCCATCAGGCCAAAAGATTTGCCCATCCTGGTATATACGGTGACAATATTTCCCTATGCTGAGTATGGGACACCTGGGAAAATTACTCGTATTCAAGCAAGTTCAACAGAAATCCATCAGAAGTATGCAGTACAAATGTTCAAATTAACATCAATTTGACTGAGCCCCAGTTAAAAAGAAATACTGCATCACTGGATTCTTTTTATTTTCCTTCTTATCTTTAAGGCTTTAGGGTTCACGGGGGAGAGGTGACACACACATTCTCGTACACCTCTCTGACACGGCGAGGGGGGGTGACCGACTGACCCGACCAGAGCTGCTTCCAGCCACAAGGGGGGAGTGATGACCTGGCCTGTCTCTTTGCAGAGCTCATCTTCTTTCCCCCACCCTCCGCTCCCCTGTGGCTGGAAGCAGCTTGACCCTTCCTGCTCCCACCGTGTTGAAAGGCAGCTAACCCTTCCAGGCTGCTGCTGACCACCAACATAACCCAGTCGCTTCCTGTCCCCCCGGCTACAGTGCGGGCAGGAAGGGGTTAAGGCCGCATTGTGCACCAGGCCCCCTGACTGCAGGGGCTTCAGCCAACCAGGCCAGAGAGGTGGCTCAGCAGGGGAGGGTGCCTTGGCGATGGCACAGCCCCCCCCAGTTCCTGGGGTGAAGAGGGTGCCAAGCCCTTGCCCATGGGGCTGCTGTGGAGCTTGTAGGTTCCAAGGCGTGAACAGGCTGGAAATCTCCCACCGCTCCAGAGCTTAGCTGAGCTGCAGAGAAGCTTCCCCATGCCAGCGCTGTGCAGCGCCCCAGGCTGGAGGGTCTTGGGCTTTCCTGGGGTGCTGGCCCAGCCAGAGGCAGTGGGGGAAGGAAGGAGCCTGCCGGCCAGGGGCTGGTTCTCCGCACAGTGCTGGGAGTGGGATACGCCCCTCTGGGAGGGCACATGGAGGAGCAACAGGGTTGGGGGGGCGGGGAAAGGAGCTAAGCAGGGAGAGGACAGCAAGGGGGGAGCACATAAAGGGTCGATG